CCTTACTATATATATATATATATATATAGATATATATATTTGGGGTAAGTTAGTGGGGGAGATGACTCCCTACCCAATTTTTTCATTAATAAGAAAAAAAAAACACATTACTTTACAATCTTATAATAGAGAAATTGTCAAATCATGTAATAATATATATTTCAATATGGCTTTGGTACCATTATTGAAAAAAAAAAAACTGATAAGCCACATTTTCAACACCTATTACTTAGACATTTAAATTTTTTAGATCAAGTACTAAGACTTTATCAAACTTAATCATTTGTACTGCTGGAATTCACCAGTAGAATTATTACTGTCACCATCTGGAGCCCATATCAATTGATCATTGTAAATGACACATGCTGCTACTGTTAAGTATAGTTATAGTTACATGTCATTATCAGTCAAAATAACTCATATTTCTCTCTTGAATTATTAATAAAAACATGATAATCTAATCCTGCATCACAAGCATGCCGTTTGGCTCAAGATGAGCAACATATGACTAAGTATTTTGATCCCGACGCAGTGAGCTTACTATGTTCACAGTAAACATCAATCATGATGATCATTAATATCATAGTTTATCCACATAATTTATGTCAAACTCATCATAAATGATCATCATAAGTTATAAACAACATAATGAATCAAATAAACATAAGTCACAAAGTTTTCATTGCTAAAATTTTTGTTATCAATCTAAAGACCAGCAGCGTTGTTTATAGGAAACACTGCTTTTTGTTGCAGTGTCGAGTTCAATTGATCATTGTTACTGCCTATTTTTTATGAAAATGGTCATCAATTAATCATCAAGACGTCATTATCAATGTTCTTTAGAATGGTTATTCTACGTTGTCTTTATTGCCTATTTTTAACTTGTTTTTATCAAACATGAAACTGAAGGGTAAAAGTAAGTTACCCACCCTCGACTGCCATCGCGAAGAAGAGGGTATTTGTTTGCCCTCGACTGCTCTTACCACATAGCAGAGACCATCTCACGCCTTCTCTTTGCACTTACGAGCCTCCTCATAATCGTACATCTTAGTTTTTTTTTCTCTTTGGACTTTCTCTCTCCCTTGATTTTTTTCTCTCTGGTTTATTCTCTATCTATTGGTTTTTTTGCTCTGATTTTTTCTCTAGGTTTCAAACATGGTGAAAATGGATCTATATTGTTTTGTGGTAAAACTGTTATCTGTAGGGAAAAAATAATTGGACTGTTTTTTTTTTTGTAAACAATTCTTTGTATAAACCTTGCCCCTCATCCCTTCCTCTTTCCACTCCAGCTAAATTTCACAGTTATTTCATTTTCCAATACTTATTTTCATTTGGTTTCGTCTAGTACACAGGTGACAATAATAACCATTTGGTGTCCTTTTTTTCTTTTTTTCTTTTTTGTGACTGCTATCATCTGAAAACGAGATAATCAATGAGATTGCTTAAATTTGATTCATGGTTAGCTTATTTTTTTCTTCATTGATAGTTCTTTTGTTGGTCGTGAAGAAAAGAAAGAAAAAAAAATTACAGTATTGCTTTCCTTTTTGCCATAGGTTGAGATTAAGCTTACTTTTTATTTTTCAATATCATGCATTGGGTTTCATCTGACCATTGAGAATGTAGTTATAGAATCAGCGAACAAAAAAAAAAGAACTTGTTATAGATTAACTAGAATTTTTTGCAAATAACAACATTTCTCAAAGAAATCAACAGGCATTTTGTTGAGTTTGTTGTGGAATTTTAGTTCAGGAAATGGTAGAATCGTTTTTTTAAGGAAAACAAAACAAATCATTGCCATGAAATTTGAATGAGAGAAAATTGATTATCTTTGAAGATTGAGGTGAATTTTAGTTATGATTGTGATTGGGGTAATTGTGAAATATTTAAAGGTTTATTGTTTCTAAACTTTGTATAACTCTTTCATATGACTGAACTATCCAAAGAAGAATGTCAATGTTGCTGACCCTTATAATGTCAATGATGCTCACTATTATACAGTTTGTAGTATGTTATCAGTTGAAAACTGGCCCCTCATATAGTTGTATTGGACTTATTTTCCTCACGAATGAATATATCAATAGTAACATAGCTTTAGAAGTTTGATGCTCTCTTTTGGTCTTTTCTAATGATGTTTGATAAACACATAATAATAATAATATGGTTATTTTGTCTGTAGACTACAAGAGTAAGGCTTGATATGTAATTGACTAAAGAGTATTTTGTCTGTGTAGACTACATCGTTACTTTGTATGTGTAGACTACAATGTAAAGCGTGTTATGTAACTTAGAAATTCTTTATATTCTAACGGATTGTCATTGACGGAAACCCATAACTTCTTTGTCGTTCCAGCGGGTTATCAAATACAGAAACTCAAAATTTCTTTAACATTCCGACAAGTTATAACTCAGAATTTTTTACAATAACTTCTTCCTTATCAGCAAAAAGAACTTCCAATTTTCGGGTTATCAAACAAGCTCGATTGTTTAAGGCTTCACCAATACTTAAATTTACACGTCACAATAATTTGATTTCATGTTTATCCGTGATTTCATTTGATAGTAAAACTAATTTAAGACACTAAATTCCCATTAATTCAACAAGATTTCCTATGAAAAAGACAATTTAGAAGTTAAGATAAGAATGTAATTACAACCCAGAAAATCTCGGTGACGATAATTGTCCTAATATGGCCAAGAATGAGAGTCGAGAGTCAAAAAGAAGGTCTAGAGAGAGAGAGGAGAGATAAATAGGGGAAGAGAGATAAACAGGGGGAAGAGAGAGGCGAGAGAAAGAAACAGGGGAAAGGGAGGAGAGAGAAATAGGCGCGGCGCAGCGCGGGAGAGAGAGAAATAAGGGGAACCCTGATTCCTTTCCACGGGTCACAGGTGTAGCAGATGCGCAGTCCTGCACAGCGCGCGCGTCCTGTGTTTCCAGGCCTTTGAATCCGTGCGTTGAACGCAAAAATCAACAAAACCACAATCTCAGAAGCCATTATCGATTCAAGACCTAATTCCATCGAAACCCATATTCGGAATCGCTCTCGAAACCCCGTTTCTAGGGTTTTGAGAGATCATCTTCATCAATGGAGTGTAATAAGGATGAGGCGGAGAAAGCCCTGGGGTTGGCAGAGCAGAGACTGAAAGCCATGGACCCAAACGGAGCAAAGCGCTTCGCACGTAGGGCACAGAAGATTTACCCTCTTTTGGAAGGCATAGACCACGTTGTCACTGTTGCTGATGTTCAAATCGCTGCAGAGAAGAGGATCAATGGATTAATGGACTGGTATGCTATTCTTCAACTTGAATCTGATTGTGATGGTGTTTACTTGAGGAAACAGTATAGAAAACTAGCCCTAATGTTACACCCTGATAAGAACAATTGTGCTGGTGCTGAAGCTGCTTTTAAGCTTGTTGTTGAGGCTTGGAATGTCCTCTCGGATCCATCAAGAAAAGGTCCTTATGATGCAAAAACAAGATTTCAGACTAGAACTGATACCCATTTTTTGAGGAAAAGAGCCAGACAAACCCAGGAAACAAACCCTACTAGAAGGCCCCAGAGAAAATCGGCCCGGAAAAATTCAGCTGAAAGTGCTGAATCCATTTTTTCCAGCAGAACTGGAAATTGGTTTTTCCCAAAGAGTTCTAGTTGCGAAGCGCCAGTTGAACATGCTGAAATTAATGGTTCAAGGGATCCTGGAAATGGGTTTTTCTCAAAGATTTATACTTCGCATACTTCTAAGAAATCTTCATCTTGTTTCTGGACTAAGTGCCCATTCTGTCTTTACATGTATCAGTATCAGAGAGAATATGAGAATCTTAATCTTAAATGCCAGAATTGTCGAAGGGGTTTTTATGCAAGGGAAATTCCAAGGGAGGGTCTTCGTGATTCAGGAATAAGATACCGTTATGAAATTGATAGTACAATTCCAACAAGTGATGAAATATATGGAGAAACTGAACAAGGGATTCCAGATGATAGAGCCCAAAGAGACTTCAGTGAGAAAAAACCATCCCAAAATCCTAATTCTGAGCCCAATGAGGATTCTCTCTCTACTTTCTGGACTGAATGCCCATCGTGTTGTAATGTTTATGAGTATCCGAGCAATTTTGAAAACGATAAACTTAGGTGCCAAGATTGTCGAGAGGTGTTTTTCGCCAAAGCTGTTTCAGGGGTGGCTGTGCATGATGCAGAGAGAAAAGGTCATTATAAATGTCTCGATGGTAACAGTTCAACTACTGGGAATGGATATGGGAAAAACCAACGAAAGAACCATGAAGATCGGTCTCAAAGAGAATCCAGACCAGAAAAAGCAGTTGTAAGTGATGAATTGAATGATTCAAGTACACATGGGAATAGGTTTTGTTCCAAGAGTACCAATTCTCAATGCATTGAGAATTCTTCCTGGGCTTTTTGGACCAAATGTCCATTCTGTTGTAACTTGTATCAGCATCTGAGAGAGCATGAGAACCACAGACTTAAGTGCCAGAACTGTAGAGGGGATTATTGGGCCACTGCCCTTTCATCGATGCCACGTGTTCTTCCAGGATTAGAAGCATATTACTGCTCTTCTCCTCCAACTCCTATCAATATTGGTGATCCTGACCCTGTTGATGGGTCTGGATCTAAGGTGGAATCTTTTGATAATTTGGAGAATGACCAGAAGATGGGTTCTGTTCAAAAGCCTAACGTTTCAGCTCCTGAAACCCCTGCAGCAACATCTGGTGATACTAGTGTATCGCCAAAAGATAAGCAACAGATACTAGATTCACTTGTTGAAGAGCCAATTACAATATCTGACGAAGATAATAGCGATCTAATCATAGATATTGATGAGATTTTTGCAAATCTTTCGGAACACAGGAAGTTTGATGAAAGTAATGATGCGGTTAATGATGATGGATTAGCAGAGAAGATTAACACACATCGCCATGAAAGCTCAGAAGTCAGGGCCTGAGAAATGAGAAGAATCCTTTGAAGGATGAGTTCTAAAAGGAAGTCTAATGTACTAAAAGAATAGGATAGATAATTGTAGAGTCTTGAAAGTGTATGTGTTTCTAAAGAATTTAGGGGAGTATAGTGAACTAGGGGAATGATGATGACAGAATTGCCTCGGTAATTCAAGTTTTGTATAGAAAAAAAGAACCCTTTAATGCAGTTTGAATTCACATTGGTGTGGCAAGAAGCAACTTGTTTTTTTTTTTTCTTTGCCAGAGTTTGCTGCTTTTGTGAAACTGAACAAAAAAGCCACAGCAGACGAGCCTCTCCATCTACTCCCATTGTGTGTGTAAAGTACACTCTTTTTTCTTGCTGGAAATGAAATGGTGCTGAGTGTCAATTCAGTTTTTTTACTTACTGAAATCATATTCTCGCATGTTTTCCTTCAAGTTGTAGCCTCCAGTTGATTCTCCCTTGCAAACTGTTCTCATGCATAGCCTGATATATGTTAAATTTTGGGGGAGCCACAATGCAGGTTATGTGGGCCTTTTTTTCTTTTTGCTGTCTTTCCTTAAGCAGCATATGAGGTCGAAGTCAGTTCCAACTTCCAAATGAAATTTAAGTGAATAAATTGAAGTTCCAATAGAAATGGATTATTCCTAAAAAATATTCTTGCTGTCTGACATATCAGAATGTGCAGAAAAGAGGTTGATTTAGATCACTTTCCTGACTTCTCTTAAATCCTCTTGCCTGCAATATTCTGATGAAGTTGCCTAGCAAATTGTGATCCCCTTGTAAGCCATACAATGCCTTCTTTAATTTGCATGTATATTTTGGCTAGGATTAGAGCGGCAGGCGAGTAGTTTATACAAATACTTGTGCTAGCTCTTTTATGTGGAAATGCTTGATCTTTGACATCAAACTTGTTGCATGTCAACCTTAACAATCAATGATAGCAAGAATAAGATTAGAAAAAGTTATCTTAGCTAAGACCTGAGGCTCTTTGTCTCTCCATTCTGGGCTCCACTATTCAAGAACCTTGTTTGCTTTTATAACTTATCTATTCCTAGCTCTGCATCAAAATTTCTTGTATGATATCTCTCCTTTTTGATATGGCATTTCTCTTTAACTTATGAACCCCTTTGGACTCCTGGAGGCATGTTCAGTCTTGGTGGAGAAACTATCTCAGACACACCATTTTCTCGAATTCATCATGTTGGTTTGGGTGACCAGTGAAAAGATTTGCAATTGGTCTTGTCTGGTGCCTCTCCAACATGGAATTGGGAATTTTTGGTACTAACTGGAGGAGTTGATTTAGTTAGACATCATTCTATGAAGTAAAAAAAAAGTTTGCTTCATAGGATATTTTGCTTTATGAAGAATGATGAATAAGAGAGAATTTCATTATTGACAAGATGATTGAAAAAACAAGGACAAAAAGTTTAACATGATGAGAATATCATGAGATATATGTTGATATGGAGAAAGGCAACTGGAAGAAATGTAAATGTTGTATATTTTTTTTCATGGGGTCTTGATTTACTAGTATGGCATGGAGATGGATCGGTCACCTACAAGTTTTGAGGGCACAATTCGATCACCACTATAATGGAAACCACATCAGTGTTCGTTTCCATCATAACTGAAACTGCATCAAAGCTTATGACCATCTATTTTCAATGGATCGTTATTTACTAGTATGCCATTGAGAAGGATCAATCACTACAATTTCGACTTTTGAGCACACAATTTGATGACCACCATAATCAAAACCCCATCAGCATTATTTTTTATCGTGACTGAAATGGCATCAAAGTTGATGACCATTTTCTATGGTTGATTAAAGCATTGCAAGATGGCCACAATTCCGAGGTTCACCTCTAAGAACATCAGATTGAATTTCATAGTATTTCTTTGTCTGCGGAATAAACGCAAACACTATGTTTGTGATTGAAAGGATATTGTATTGGACGGCTGACATGTAATGTTTGATGAATCATAGTATATCAATATTCGAATTTCAAAGAAGTATGATGGTTGAATTTTTTATTTATTTTTAAAGTATAACTTGACAAGGACACAGGAAATATAACCACTTTCATAACTAACATGAAATCATCTTGTGAGCGACCCACAGCATGTGCTTTGGTACAAATAATAACATCATTAGCTAGTGAATGAAGGAAAACCCCAGAAATATTTGGTGAGGGAACTAATGTAGAAGTCGGTGTGATAGAAGAAAACCCCAGAAACAATTAGATAGTAATGCACTTATTGCTGAAGGATACTATTTGCTCTATTGTACATTTGACTTTAATCAGGGGATCAAAGTGTATTATCACTACATAAGTACATGTATATGGTGGTAATCATTGATAGAAAAATGGAAATGAGTGACTAGCCTTTGTCTCCTTGCCTTTCTGCAGTGTATCTCTACAGGTTACTTTTAATGTAGTGTGGATCAAAGCTTTCCTATTACTTTAGGAAGTAAATTAAGGGCTCCTGCATCGCAAGCTCAAACAGATGCCCATGCACCAAATGAAATGAGTAAAGATAATCTTTTTAGTGAGTGCTCTGACTCTTGTGTCTGCCCTGGTTTTCAAGGATTATAGGGCCTGATAGACGTCCAAATTACTTCAAATCCATATCTGCCTCAGTTTCATAAATTTGTAACTGATATGTCGATCTTGGAAAGCTCCAAATGAACATTCCAAAATAAGTCAGCCCAATTTTCCTTTTATTAAAGATTCATGCCTGGGTGGTTGGGTTGATATACCAAAACAGTTTGGATCCAGAAGCCATCTCTAAGATGGATTTTGAAAGGGTTAACTTCCAACAACAGTTAGTCGTCAGAAGCACCCAAACCCTACCCCTGAATAGGAAGCAAGTGGATGAAAACTGCTATTTCAACTTGCTGCAGGGGCTTTGAAGCCTTTCTTTTGTACTATTTGAGTTAAGAGGCCTTTGGCATAGACAGTCGCAGAGTGTGAGAGATCTTTAGAATTCCAGATAGTCAGAGAGGGAGAGATCTTTGGTAAACATAGGCATGTGCAAAACAATGCCAATAGTCCACCCATGCATACGCATAATGCATGGACATGCGAATGCATTTAGGCATATGTCAGCGTGTGAAAATGAGTTTGTGCGAGGATCAGTTGATGTCTACATGCTGGCAGATCTGAGAGAGGCAAGCATTCATATTGTCCTTCGATTTATGGATAGAAAATGCCGATATGTGACAATGTGCTTGTGCGGGATCATGTTTATGAGCTTGTAGAGTATTTGTTTCAGTTGTTATTTCTATTAGATAAAAGTTGGAAGTAGTGAAAAAAGATATAGAGATTTATGACCGCACTAAGAGTATGACCCTTAATAGGGCCACCAGTTCGGTTCGGTTTTGATAACTATGAGTTCTATAGTATTTCTGGTTCAATGATTCGATCGAACCAGCCCATGATCCAATTGGCTGTGATCCAAGTGGCTGTTCAACAAGTCGGACAGGCCGCTTCTGGCGCATCCAACCTTGATAACATCAGCTGGCTTGGCCGTGCGCGTTATACTCGGATATATTGAGGCTCACGTAAAATTTTCCAAGTCCAAGCGTAAAGGAAAAAAACGCAAAAGATTCATGCTTGATGGGAACGAAACGTACATTTGCTCCATAGAAGTGTTTTTAGGAATAGGACCGCATATAGATGAGTCCTACGTACCCTAATACAAACCTAAGTAACATTTGTAAATGTACTCTAAAATGTCCAGAAAAAAAATCACTCAGCGAGTTTGAAAACACAGCCATCCAATTTTTGAATGGTCAAATCGATTGTTTAAGAAAACGGATCGGGACCAGATTGCTCATTCAGAAAAGCGGTTCGGATCGGCGGATTAGTAGTATGTTTCGATGATCCAATCGAGTGAATTAGCCAATAAAAAAAAAGATAATAAAAAATATTTAAAAAATAACGAATGAAAGGTGGGTCCAGATTGGCCGGTTATTCTATGTTTTTTCTCAAAAAGAAGCCAACTCTAGCAATTTACGAGGTTGGTTAACTAAATAAGGGAAATTTACATGCAAATCAAGTTGTAATTTAAACTGTAACAATAGTCACTGTATTTCATATTTTACAAACTAAATCCGTAGTTTTGATAATATAAAGTGTATTTTAATTTTCTCTTTTTCTATACATCATACAAAGCTCAAATTTGGCAAAGTAAAACAATGAGAAAATTATGGGTATATTCCCTATACTTCACATTTCTTATTTAAAATTTACCTAAACTTATTTTGTTTTTAGATTCCTACCCATTTTTTTTCAGTTTTAAAAAAATACCATATTGCTCATATTTTCAATCTTTAATATAAGACATAATAAATTTTTTGAACTTAGTTGTTTTACAATTTTTAGATTTTGAATATCCAAAATTTTGTGAGCCCAAAAATTTCTTATTTTGCACACTTTTTGGAATATCCAAAAATTTATTTAGCCCAAAAATGTTATATTATTCAACATTTTTTGTTTTTGAATATCCAAGACCTTATGTATCCTAAAAAAATTATTCTTTGCAATTTTTGGTTTTGAATATCCAAAAACATTTTGCCAGAGAATATATTTTTAAGAAAATCGGAATTACAAAATCTGAAAATTGTAAGGAAAAAAAAAAAGAAAGAGAAAATTTCCAGCTGAAAATTTTGGATATTTAAAATCTTAAATTTGTAAAAAAATTAACTAAATGTCAAAACCATATATTTTCGGATTGAAGATCCAAAATATGGGCAATTTAGTCTTTTTAAAAATATGACAAAAATTTAGTACGAAATGTAAAAAAGGAAAAATGTAGAGAAATTTTAAACAATCAAATAATTTTCTCCGCAAAGAGTTAGAGTGAATAGTAAGTCTAATAGCCATTTGGAACATTATGGCAAGACGTATATCATGAGTTGGTGGATCTTCTCCTTCATTTACAATGTAACTCTGGAATTGGGGCACGCAGTTATTGGATTTGCAAATTCATGTACCCAATGATATAAAGTTAGTAATGCACCAATGGATGTCCCCGGTATTTCAAGGATGGAGACAATTTTATAGAAGTCTATATGGATGAGCATATCATGTGGAACATTTGGACAAAATGTTATAGGATGACCATTGAAGGGATTTGCTGGGAGTTACCTAGTAATCTTACTAGAGAATGAAGTTGGAGTCGTGGTGGTAGTATCATTTGTACCTCAGCTAAAGTTTAGGTTTTCATTCTCACC